GGCTGACTGATGTGCTTCTTCCATGTGGGCTTTGTTGTTTCTCAGCTAGATGGCTGCTTGTTTATCTTTAAGCCATTAAGACTCCAGATGCTTATCTTTTGATAGCCGGGCACCATCAGCTTTCTTCACCACATTAGCTTGTGGACACATTTGTCTTCAGCGATCATGTCTGGAAGGTGAGCATCATGGAATGCCAGTTTAATAGAACGTGTTCTTGCATTGAAGGAATACTTGAGTAGAGGCCCAATGTCCATCTGCTATCCTAATACTAAACCTATAAATATATGCACATAGATCTATTTCCCCATCATCATATATAAATATATTTGTATTTATATATGTACATGCCTGTATTTAGACCTCTGTAAATGGCCTTTGCTTACTTCTTTCCTCTCTTTCCTTTTACTTTCCTCTTATCCCACTATCATGTTCAGTCTTCATTTGGGTTTCAGTAATTCCTCTCGGTTACATTGCCCTTGATCAAGTCCTACCAGGGTCTTACACCATCCTCGCCACTGATTTTTGATCACTTGTTCCCTTGTCCCTGGGTTTGTTAACACCTACTTCCTTTCCCCCACCTCCCCATCTCCTGTGTCACCCCACCAACCATCATTCCCGTTTTCTCCTCCAGAGTTTTAACAGCCTATCTTATCTAGATAGACCTGCAGAGATAATAATATGCACACACAAAAATGCTACTGTTATGAATGTCACGTAAGTATCTGATATGTAGGATGATTTTGGGGTTTTTTTTTTAGCAGCATCTACAAGCTTTTGAAGAGCAAAACAAAGTAACAAAAGAAAACAAAACAACAAAAAACCAATGACAAAAAATGAGAGAAGCCTGTACATAGTTCAAGGTCTGTTTGTTGACCTTTAGGAGTGTGTTCCAGTCAAATCTGACGGGGTGCCACTCCCTGGCCCCAAAGTCTATTTTTGGTATTCCCTAGGGACTTCCTTGCTCTGCTCCCCTTGCTGTTCTATTGCACGCCCTTAGTGTTTTGCCTTAGTGTGATGGGGTCAGATCGGGTGCAATTCCCACAGTGTGTCTCCTGTGTTGTCCCCTGTAGGGCTATGGGTCAGTGAAGGATGTTGTGTCTCGTAGTGGGGCTGACCATATGGTCCTCTCTGTGCACTGGCTGCTCTGAGTGGGGATATCGTCCTCAAGGCTTGGTGGGTCAGGATGTGCTCCACTCTCTCCTCCTCCCCCTTCATTTGCTCCGGTGTGCTCTGATCACATATGACCTGAGCTGTAGCTTCAGTGCTGTCCTCCGAAGTAAATTCTTTTGGGGGGAGGGGCGGCTGCCCATGTAGTTGGGATCAGGGCTAGACCTTCATGCTTTTCTTTTTAAAAGGCAAAAAGTTTTGGTTTTCTAATTAGTTTTAGTTTCAGAAATTACATTAAACATTTTTTATTTTCAAAATCCATCCCTTACAGAGAAGACAAGAAATTTCTAAAATCCATCTTTGGAATCTTGTGGGCTTCTTGCTGACTGAGCAACATTTTTAGTTGAGAAAAGTATTTCTTTGTTTTGCTTGTACTCGATAAGAGAAAGTGGGTGTTGACTGTCTAGATGTAGGTGTTCTGAATATCAAGGCAGGGCCCCTGGCCTTGAATCCAGACATCTCCTGACTGGTTCGCAGAGCTCAGGGCCTTCCTCCCTGGTGTCCTCAGAGTGGGGTTAGCTGTTGCACCGCTCCTCAGTGAAGAAAGCAAGCTTCTATGTTTTACCTTGTTTAACTGTTCTGTTGCATGTTTTGCAAGTCACCAGCTTTGGGAGCCTTTGTACTTTGCATAATTTTTGCTTCTTTAAAATTGAGTGGATGACTTTTTCCTTTTCAACCGGAAGTCTCTGTATTTTGGGTGTCAGCTTGGGCTCAGTTTGAGGCACACTCAGGAGCTATCCAGTACCAGCAACTGGAAACAGTATGGACATGTTTCTTCAAATGTGTTCTTAGCATCGTGTGATGAACTGTGGGTCCAAAGGAGATAGCCGGCTTGGCCCAGGCAGCTAGCTTGTAGTTTCTGTGCTGCAGCCTCAAGGTCATGCTTCTGCATTGTAGTGAGTGGGAAAGCTTGGTGGGCTGGGGCTGGGGGTGGGCACTGAATTCATGTTAACAGTGGTGGAATGATTTGGAAAGGGTGAGATCGGTTGTACAATTCTAATGTAATCAACGCCACTGAATTGCACATGTAGATACTGCTGAAATGGTAGATGTTTCGATGTATTTTCACCATACACACAAAAAGACAAAAAGATAAAATTACACATGCAACCACAGGATTTATGGGCAAGTCATTCCCTCTGACGGGAACATCTGCCTGCCTCACCCCACCTTTATCTTTCAGATGTTCCCTGACCCATCAGACCAGATCTGGTTCGCTTTTTAACGATCTCTTGTAGCATCTTGTGCTTGTGTTGTTGTCACTAAATACATATTTGTAAATAAGTGGAAGGGAGGAGGACTTCCAACGAGCAACTGAAGAGGACATACGTCCCCTCCCCCGTGAATTGGAACGGACTTAATGGCAATGAGATAAGACTAGTTTCTGACCTTGACTAGACTTGCTGGGCTGGAAGAAGGCCTGCCTAGACACACACTCCAAGAATCCTGGAGCTTCTGGGGAGCGGTTAGCAAATGAGAGGATAAAAGGTGAGGTCAGAACTGTTTATAAATCCCAAAATGCAACCCAAAATTTCAGCTCAGAACATTGAAGGCCAATGTGAAAGAAACTCTGTCAAGGCTCCTTTTTACTTTTGTTCACTTTTTGTGTGTGTGTGAGCGGGTTTGTATCTTTTTAGCGATTCCTCGAAGATGGCTCCATAACAAGGTATGAAGCAATGCTTCCTTTTTCAAAGACTCTATTTTGAATGGTAAGCATTGCTAAAGAGGAAGCAATCAATCCCAACAGGTGGGTTCTGTCCTCCACCCAACGCTGCACAGCTGCTTCCTGGTTGTGAAAATAAAAACATTTCCACGCCGCGGGGAGTTTGGTGATCTGGATTGCTATTTATTCCATTCTCATCTACGCGTTCATCTCCAAGGCAGTAAAAGGGCACAGATTTCGGGGAATTCGATTCACTTCTCGGTAAAAATGGGCCACGGTTGCCAGTTTTCACGAATGTGACAGCAGGAATAATCTTACGCTGGGGATCTGTTGCTTCATTCATTTTCTTTTTGTAACAAGTTTGCATCCTTTGCTGTGGAAGTATGGGTTCCTCTTCAGGCCCCCCAAACGGGCACAGGCACTGTCGGCGATGGGGCCTCCAAGGAGGCTGGGTCTGTCTTTTCCAGGGACCCTCAGAGGACAGCGCCTGCCCCAAGACTGCGTTGCCACTCGAGATCAGCGCCTGCCAAAGAAAAGCACCTCAGGAAATCCGGTTCGTGAAAGCTCCTAAAGAACGGTGTCGCCTTTAGTGTCAGCGCCTCCAACTTGAACGACCCGGAAACCCCCAGCTCCCGGGAGGCGCCGCCCTGCGACGGCAGCCGCCGCGGGGTCTCCGCCTGCCCCGCCCGCCCGCCG